TACTAAACCCGCGTCGGCCTCTCGCATCAAACCGTTGGTTGAACCAAGGAACTTCGCGTTCAACATCGGCGAGTATGCGTAAGAACAGAGGACGACTCATCCGAAAACGATTACTAAAATCCTCCGGTGTATAAACACACGGATTATTAAAGTAGTCGTTTAGAAGTGAATCGTGGGCGGCCGCTCGATCCCGGTTAAGACGTTGGCGTCGGGTCCGTCGTCGGGAGGATTCGGCTTCTTCTTGGCCATCTTCCCACCATTGAATACAATTCGTCGCGAAACAACGAAAAAATAAAGCTCTTCTTTCATCGTCGGAAGATGAACCCATTTTTAAATAATATTTTATAAATATTTATAATAAATAATAAATTTTTTTGAGAGAATATATAGTAATAAAGAGAGATTTGTTAGAGAGAGGTGTGAGGAAGATGTATGAGAAAGGGAGATTTTATAGGTTTTTTTTTTTAAATTTAATTTTTTTTTAATTGGGGGGGGGGGGTAACAGCTCTATAGCCGTTGGGAAGAAAAACGGCCCTCACGCCGCGTCAAACGAATGACGCAGACCTCCTCACGCCCTTTTCATGCCGGCGGGGGTGGTGTTTCACGCCCCGTAACGCCGGTGGGCGTGAGGAGTATTACCAGTGCTCTTATAGGGAAAGATGGAAAGAATAGCAGTGGCAGTAAAAAATGACAGCGTAAAAAAAAGAGAAATTTACCTAAATAGGACTAAAACATAATGACTTTCCCAATATATGACCATATGTTTTTATTTCCCAATATAAGACCTTTAGTCATTATAAAGTAGTCATTATTCAAGTAAATGTCCATCATTACTGGACATTATTTCTCCCACTAGGTCATTATTAAGTCCTATTTAGGAAATAAAAAAGTTCAAGTCCTACATTGGGAAAGTCATTATGTTTTAGTCCTATTTAGTACAAATTTCACTATAAAAAAAAGTGCATGGCCTTTACAGCGATCCTCGCAGCTGCCACTAGCCAGTCATACGGAGTATTATGCTTTGCTTAAAATGATTGTGCCATTATTGGTTTTTTTGTTTGGACCTTGTTGCTCCTACTCTACTCCCCCCCCGGACCCCCTCTCACGCCCCCTCCCTCCATTTTAATCATTCTTTTCCTTTTCATTTTTTTCCAAATTCATTTACTATTTAGTTTAAAAATCAGTGAATAGTAATATGTAAAATGTTTCATAAGATTATATTTGTCTTTGTAGAAATATATTTAGAACTAAACTTGAATGAATTGATTACACATAGATCCGCTATTTATAATAGCTCCAAGACCATGACCTAATTACGAGCCCAACAACAATGAGCCCGTTATCGACAAACCCTACTACATTCCTTAACACTCCCCCTCAAGTTGAGCATGAGGTTAACGAATGCACAACTTGGACAATTAAAAAAAAACTAGAACTAAAAAAAACTTGATAAACAACTTGAACTTGATCTGCTGTGACAACAACGAACGAAGGTGACCGGCCCTGCAAACGAACAATAAATTTTGATGACGAATGACTCCCACGCGGTGACACGGGGACGACTAACAAGCATCCCAAACTTGGAGGCTGTGTTGCCGGACTGAGGCGCGACTATGCGACCAACCTCACAAATTGATATGTCGGACTGAGGCGCGACTATGCAACCAACCTCACAAACATACATGCCGAACATACAGCTGGTTGCACTTGAACATACCAAAGAGCAACCAAAAAACAATGTCGCCGAAAACGTCATCAAATTTCAATGAACGACAGAGTGAACATTAAAACCTTCTTCTCCTCTTCTTCTTCTTCTCCTGATGAACGAAGCAAAACAAAACCAACCTACGAAGCATTATCCAAACCATTGTCCAAAGTGATGAACACCAAAATTATTAATAGCCAATGTTAAGATTGGATGAACAAAAACAAAATCTCTTGTGATGAATGGAATCGGCTGAAGAAATCACAAGAACAAATCATCAAATTAAATATTTTGAGGCGGTGAGTGGACTCCTGAGAGCAGATCTGGACTTCGAGCAAACTCGACGGTGACGCCGAACCAAGAACACAAACACGGTCAGATCCGAAATTCGAAGCAGCGTTCCGTCCAGCAGATCCGTCCGTCCAGCATCGCCAGCGCGTCTCTGCATCGCCGGAAGTTCCCTCCGTCCGGAAGTTCCCTCCTTCGCCCGGCAGATCCATCAGCCTCATCCTGCAATCCTATTCTTTGGCATCAAATATGGATCCCTTGTTACTGTTGCTAATTTTTGGGTAAAACGATGGCAATGCCGCCGTCGCCGGACAAACCACCGGCGACGGCGACAGCGGAAGCAACAAATTAAATTAGAACAAACTAGGGTTTAGGTTCCCAGGTTGGCTCTGATACCATGTAGAAATATATTTAGAACTAAATTTGAATGCATTGATTACACATAGATCCGCTATTTATAATAGCTCCAAGACCATGACCTAATTACGAGCCCAACAACAATGAGCCCGTTATCGACAAACCCTACTACATTCCTTAACAGTCTTTCAAAATATTTGGACAAATTTTTTTTTTAGTTTTTAGATTTCTAGTGTCTCATAATAATACTCCACTACTAAGTAAAATATTTGCATTGAATATCGTAAAAAAACAAAATAGAAGAATATTTGTATAATAGAGAATTTGTATATTTACTTTCAAAGTTACATCTAATAACATGAGTGTGAATACGGCATTATATTGCTTGCACATCTCTATCTAAGCTATACGGCGCCGTCCCATGTAGCCTTGACTGTAATTTGGAATTTACTCTTTCCTTCTATCCCTAAAAGCTTAACACAATTAACTTTTTTATCAAAGTGTGATTATATTTTATATGTTGGGTAAATATGAGGGGTGAGGTTCCCATGACATTGGGTTTCAATGTCATGGGATGACCCGGGGGTGCTCCGGTGCCCCGTTCGTAAAATTGACGGTTCCTACCCCTCCTAACCCCCCCGGTAAACCCCCCACCTCGGCCCCGACCCGAACACGCCCCCCTACCCCCGTCAATTGCACCCCACAAGTTGATTTTGACTTTGGAGTTTTTCTACATATTAGAGTAGAAAAATTAGAGTTTTTCTACATATTTATTTTGGTGATCATCATTTAATTGAGTGGGTTTTTCACACTTTAATTAATTCTTCCTGCATTTTCTAACTTCTTCCCGTTTCTCCCAATTCATTCCAGATTCTTCAAGCATTCAACTTAGAAATTTCAACCTGTTAGAATATAAATAACTGTTCCTGGGCCACAACCAAGTTTGAGCTTTTGGTTGAATTGGTTCCCTGACATGGTATCGGAGCCTCGTTGACTAAGAGGTCACGGGTTCGAAACTCAACGCCAAAGGTTTCACGTGCAAGACTCGAAAAAGACTACGCCTGCACGTGAGGAGGCGTGTTAGAATATAAATAACTGTTCCTGGGTCACAACCACAAGTTTGAGCTTTTGGTTGAATTGGTTCCCTGACACAACCCAAAAGAACGTACAGGACCTTAATTAGATTCTTTTTTTAAAAATGAGAAACGGACGAATTACGTTAGAACGACTCCGTACTTGGGTATTTATAATACTCTGTTCGTGAAACTGATTGTTCATATCCCGGCCTTTAGCCCACGTCAATTTTAGGGGCGGAATACCGTAGGTGCTCGACTACAGAATATATTTAGTGAGTCATCTTGTTATAATAGTATTAATTCATCTTTGAAGATGAGAACAATTTAGAAGATGCAACAATGATTAGGTTTATTTAGGAATAGGTACGTACGACGTAAGAAGGTCACGTTTGGTGCTGGGTGTCCGAGGAACAGGCTTAGACAGCTCAAGTTAAACTGGAAAAGAGCCAAGTAGAAAAACACAAGATAGAGGAATATATATAATCCATTCTCATGGCTATATATGCAACAAAATAATTAATATTGGTTATCTATATATGCCCATATTTTGTCATGGCACACAACCAAAAAAGGCTCCATGCAAAGTCTGGATATATATATATAATTATATATGCTACTCATTACTCTATTATATTTTCCCCTTTTAATCTTTAGTTTAATCTTTATATAACGTGCATTTGCAATGAGATTTTTGGTCATTTTATCTTAAATCCATAAAGTATATAAAGATAGACTGATCCGAGTTTGAGAGATTCAAGTGCAAGCTAGAATTTATTATCATTGTTTTTTTTTGAAACAGCAATAATTAATTATTTAGAGCCTTTTGCTAGGGATAACCCGGCTTTTAAATACTAAGTGTACACCAAATTTTTCACATACACTTACAAGTTTGTGTGTCTCTGATAAGCTTGGTGTACAAAAGCTAGGGTACCCATAACTCTTTTTCTTAATGATATTGTATTGATTTTGCTTGCGTATGACTTGTGCCCCGAAAACCAAAAGGTACAAATTATTGAATCTAAATCAATTGGTGGAGAGCAAAAGGATTCTAATAAATATATTGACCGGGATAGATGGGGATTGAACCAAAGAAAATGTAGAAATCGAAGTGGCTCGAGACTCGAACCAGACGTAGTTCTTCCGTCCCAAATTAAATTACATATTTACTATTCACTCGTTCAAACTTCATCACTTTTTTTCCCTATTTTTTTAGTCATTTGAAAAAATAATATAGTCATGTCGCTACTAATTTTGTAGATCTTTTGATGTATTTTTTTATATATAACTTTTATTTTTTAATTATACATCATTTTTTATTTAAAATTATTTAAAAATAACTTTAATCAAACATAATAAGCCAAAAAAAAATGATTTAAATTGGTAATGTTTGAAATTATTTAGAAAACACGGCATTTTGAAACACATGTTTTTTTCTAAAATGGATGGAAGGGAGTATTCACCTTTGGAAATGACAATAATTCTGAATCGGTTCGAACTTCCAATTCAATTTCCGGGTTTTTTAGGGTAATTTACCTAAATAGGACTAAAACATAATGATTTTCTCAATATAGGACCATATATTTTTATTTCCTAATGTAGGACTATTGGTCATTATTTATTAGTCATTATTCAACTAAATGTCCAGTATCACTTGGACATTATTCTTCTCAGTAGTCATTATTAAGTCTTATTTAGGGAATAAAAAAGTTTAAGTTCTACGTTGAGAAATGACTTATGTTTTAGTCCTATTCACTACAAATTTCACTTTTTTTTATTTCATTTTGCATTCTAAAAGAGGGAGTATGTCAAGTTTAAAATATCCCCTTGGTTTCCATGATATTGGGAATCAATGTCATGGGATGACAAGGGGGTGCTCTGGTTTCCCGTTCGTAAAATTGACGGTTCCTACCCCTAACGCCTCTGTAAACCCTCTCACCCCACCTCGACCCGAACACACCCCACACCTCCTTCAATTGCACCCCTCAAGTTAATTTTGACTTTGGAATCAAAATTTGACTCCAAAGTCAAAAATAACTTGGGATGCATTTGAAGGAGGTGAGGGGTGTGTCTGGATCGGGGCGGGTGGGGTGGAGAGGTTAGGGGTGGTAAAAACCGTTAATTTTATGCATTGGGTTTCAGAACGCCTCCGAATCATTTCATGAATTTTGATTCCCAGAATACCGAGTCTCTACCGAGTCTCTGAAGGCATGGAACGGGCCCCTTAAAATATATTAAGGCATGAAACCGTACATCTCTGAGATTATTAAAGCTATAATCGAGTTGGGCAGCCCTCTGAACTCCTTATCAGATATGGGCCGAGGTCCTGCCTTTCTTCGGTCCTGCCTTCAATCTAGACCTACAATCTTGGGCTTTCAAGTCTAATCCATCACTACCTTCCCAAGAGTACTTGTTTATTTTTCAAGATTTTTGGTCAAAGTATGTAAATTTTGATCAGGAATTAAATAAAAACAAATATTAGGTATTAATACAAAATTAATTTTACTTCACTTATTATATAAAAAATTTTTAAAATATTATTTTATGTAATTAATATATTCCCGGCGTCCAAAATTAAATTACATGTTTATCTTTCATTGGGTCAAACATCATGCACTTCTCTCCTGTTTTCGTTAGCCATTTGATGAAATAAAAAAGTAATGTCACTACTAGTTTTGTAAATCTTTTGATGCAATATTTTAATATGTAATTTTTATTTTTTAATTCTACATGAATTTTGATAAAAAAATAATTTGAAAACAATTCCAGTCAAACATCGTAAACCAAAACAGGCAATATAAATTGGGACAGAGGGAGTAAAATATATATTTTATTTAGTTATAGTTCAAAGGTTGAAATTAGGTGGCTGTAAAAATTAAAACTAGACAAATACTTAGTGACATAGTGAATATTTGTTTTGGTAACCTTAGTCCCAGAATTATCTGGATTCGAGAACTCCTACTTTGAGGACCTATATAATTGAGTGGTAACTAGTGAAGAGCAAAATGATTCTAAAAACTATCTGGGGATCGAACTAGAGAAAACGAAGAAATCAAAGTTGTTCGAGACTCGAACCAGACGTAGTCCCGCATGGTCCTTCAAATTAAGTGAGAGACTAGATTAGACTATAACTAATGATCTTTTGTAAAAAAAGACTAGATTGAGACTGAATTTAGAAAAGTCCTAACCTAGCTACCAAGTTAAAAAGTTCATATTTTTTCATGAAGATCGTTCTTCTCCAGATCCTTTGCAAAAAAAGGTTTTCATAGATCTCATCTTAAATATAGTACGGAGTACTTGTCATCTCCAAAGAACTAATTTGGCCAGGTTCTTTTGAAATTATTTCATATGATATTTCAAAACTATGTTTTAAAATAAATCTCTTAATATTAATTTTATATCGCAATTCAATGTGTTTTTTCATAATTTGCGTTTAAAGTTTAAAAATGTTTATCTTGAAAGTCAAGATGAAAAGAATATGAGACGGAAGGAATATGATTCTGGCAAATTAATTGCTTGAATTCAACTTTTCAAAATCTAAACATGACTATGACTTGCTTGTGTTAAGATTTTAGATAATATTTTAATGATACATATTACTGTGAGTGTATGTTTAATGGTGAAGATTAATTAGATAAGGTTCTCGGTGAGGCTAATGTCAAACACAACAAACCTATGCGTAACAACAAGCTTTCAATCACTAAGAGCAATTTTAATGGTAAAGGCAAATTTTAATGGTAAAGGCAAATGAAGAGAGATAACTCAAAACTTCTAAATTTTCCTTCTCTTTTTTTATGTGAAATTTGCACTAAATAGAGTAAAACATAAGCCATTTTCCCAATGTAGGATTTAAATTTTTTTATTCCCTAAATAAGACTTAATAATGATTAGTGAGAAAAATAATGTCCGAGTGATGTTGGACATTTAGTTGAATAATGACTAATAAATAATGACCAATGATCTTACATAGAAAATAAAAACATATGGTCCTACTGGAAAATGCTAGGGTGTCACCACATGAGTGCTACCATGGGTGCACCCATGGTTCACACAGACAAACACAGACGATAGTCGTCTATGCGACACAGACAATTATCGTCTGTGTTTGTGTTTGTCTGTGTGAAGCATGGGTGCACCCATGGTAGTACCCATGTGGTGGCACCCTAGCATGGTCCGGTCCTATTATTGAAAAAATCATTATATTTTAGTCTTATTTAGGTAAATTACCCTTTTTATATTTCCTTTGTCCCAAAAAGTATTCTTCATTTCCAGTTAAGAAATGTCTCAAAAAAGACTCATATTTTCAAATTTCGCAAATCTTGTGTGGCTCAGATTTTTCTCTCATCTGCATCATTTTCAACTCCACAATTTTATTCTTTTTGAAATTTGTGTCATACTCAACCCTAATGAAACTCAGATTCAGAGAAACGAGAGAGAATCGTAACAAGAATTTACAGACGTTATTCCTTCCCAAGCAGGTCGAATTACCAGTATCCGTGACACCTGAGGCCTTATTGATCCGAGAGTCGCCAGTGCGCGTGGGAATCAAGCGCCGCCGCCAGATCCGTAGCGGTAGAACTTGCCAAAGACGTGGAGGACGGCGACGAAGCCGATGAAACAGATGCTCATGATGAGGACCACGGTGGGGCTGATCTTGAGTCCGGGAGCGTCATCTGTGTAGAATCTGAGCATGTTGCTCGAGTTCCCGGGAGATCCGGCGCCGGAGCTGACAGCGGATGCTCCTCCGATCCTCCGGCGGCGCATTCCGGCCGTGGCGGCTGCCGATCCTCTCGGCGCCGCCGTGCCGGGGCGGGAGTTGGAGGAGGAGGTAGGCTGAGATGTGGTCGGTCGCGCCATTTTCGGCGAAGAGGAGAGAGGGTCGGAGAGGTCGTTTGCTATCCTTTGTACGGTTGAGTAAAAGAGAAGAGATGATGGGCCTGAGAGGTTGCCACGTGGAGGGGAGAATGTGACTCATCATCCGGACTAAATATGGATATGGGCCGGAGGTTTGGACGAGAATTATTGAAGATTTGTTTGATCAAGTTTGGCCCGATCCAAAGCCCATTGTATTTTATTCAGGCCCGCTCATAAGAAATGAATATTTGACCGCCCAAAAAAATCGAATTACTCGATATGAGATTAAAGTTTGTATAAAAGAGAAACTTAGGGGATGTATAGCTGCTCGTGAAAGTATTGTAATTTTAATTCACATTTTTTTTGTTAGAAATGTAGAAATTTATATTTGAATAATGCAAAAGAGATATGCTTGTTGTATACTTGTACATCATCCATTTTTTATTTGCACTAATAAATATTAGACAAAATTTGTTTGTATGAATATGTGCAGACAAGTATTGTCCATGGAAGAGAAAGTATTAGCTAATATATAGTTACATAAAAAATCGCTAGGCTCTTTTTATATTGATACACAATGTCATTCTCCATCTGTTTCACAATATTCTTCTACTCTTTTTTATGCATTTCTTAAAATACTTCTAACAGGGTACACAGAAAAGTTAGACGGAAGAAATTTTTGGAAGGGAGAAAGCAAAACAAAGTTGGCACCTACGATACTTTAGCTGCAAAATTTTAGATTTCTACACCAACTCCACCCTAAGTCGGCGATCGACAGTAGGATCATCGGTTGAAATTAATATTACTACTGCCAGTCGGTAATCTAGATGGAGTTGGTGGTTGGGAGTTTTATGTTTGAAGGATAAACCATCAATTTTACGAACAGAGCATCATAAGTATGTCCAAAGTCAAATTATGACATTAGACTTCAATATCAAAATTACTTAGCCAATTAATTTAAATAGCGATTGTGATACGAGCTAACTAGCAAACCAACACCGGTCAAATGGGGGATTGGTGTGGAGTTTATATAGCCAAGACTTCTCCCACGTTAATAGCTAGTTTTTGCGGTGTTGCTCTCTCTCTCTCTCTCTCTTGTAATATATCAGTGGTATCAGAGCAAGCTCGAAGTGGTGGCCTACGGAGCGGTCAGTGTGGTGGCCTAGTGAAATCAGCTCTGACCAACGAGGACGTTGGACATTATGGGGGGGTCGAAAGATAGGGGCTAAATAGCGATCCCACACCGGTCAAATGTGGTATTGGTGTGGGGTTTATATAGTGAGGGTTCTCCCACCTTAATAGCTAGCTTAACATACGGGACGATTCTCATAACATTGCCCGGCAATGTCATGGGATGACCTAGGAATGCTCTGGTTCGTAAAATTGATGGTTCTCATTCTCCTAACTTCCCCCTCTCCCCTCTCCCGATGAACTCCTCACACCGCCTTGACCCAAACACACCCCCACCTCCTTCAATTACACCCCACAAGTTAAAATTTGCTTGGAGGGTGCAATTGAAGGGGGTGAGAAGTATGTTCAGGTCAGTGTGGAGTGGGGGAGTTTATCGGGACGGTTAGCGGAAGTAGGAACCGTCAATTTTACGAACAGGGTATTGGAACACCCCAAGTCATCCCGTATTGCTCTAAACTAAAAGTGATTGCTAAGAGACGGAGAGCATTTATAAGAATCTGCCTATCCCTCTCTGTGAAAATTTAGTTTCAAGGGCAAATAAATAAATTGCTATCTTCTTAAAAAATACTTGGTCCGTCCCTGAGTGTTTGTCCACTTTTGACTTTTGGAACTGTTCATCTAAGCACTTTGACTCATCAAATTCTCTCAATGTGTAAGTCTAAAAATAGTCGTGTGTGATCTTGTTTGATTTGTCTTAACATATAGATTATTAATATATAATTTTTATAATTTTTTAATATACAAATTACACAATAAAATGGATTAAAAAAATGCATTAGATGGTGTGTAAAAATGAAAGTGGACAAACACTCATGGACGCAGGGAGTAATTTAATTTACTATCTTAATAAATACGCTTTCTAAATCCGGCTCTTTAAAAGGGTTATGCCGACCCATTATCAAGGTCCTAATTTTCAGTTTGCTATATAGCTTTTCTCACTCTTAAGGTGGGATAGCACTGGGCCAGATTCAGACCGGGTTGATCGGTTTCGGCTAGTTTATTTATATATAACAAAATCTGGCTTTCTAATTTCCAATTTTTAAACAAAAAAACATCTTTTAGTCTTTTAATGTTTTGATAATTTTAATTAAGATATTTCACTTAATTTATTTTTCACTTAACCTATTTTAAAATTGGTCCGAAAAAAGTTTAAAAAATACATTAAGTGATTTACAATACAAAAGATGGTTATATTTTTTTATAAATTGCTCGATAAAAGTACGTAAAAAACAACTTCGACCTTTAAATAGAAAATGTAAAAAGTTTTTTAGACGAAAAGGGTATATTTTAAGTTTTCACAAAGGGTGAATTGGTGTTTTTGCCAAAGAAGAAAAAAATAGATAAAATATACGCCTTTCATCCCGAATTAATTTACACGAGTTGATTCCACAAAATTAAATAAAATTAACGAGTAATTAAAATTTGTTTAGAACCAAGTGAAAAACTATAGACTACATATCTATATTTTATTAAAAAAGAACAAAAATTGAAAATATTTTTTTTAATATTTAAAAAAGAAAGTTACGGAAAAAGTATTTATACGATGTCAAATCGTACCCGTTGTCCAGTCAGGTAAAAGACTATCCTGTTTATAACATGGGGCCTACAAGTTTATGGCATCTGAAATGGTGGCCCATTAAAGTAAGAGAAGCATGCTGGCCCAACACCAACGGACGCACAGAGGCTGGCCCATTGGATAAACATAATGCATTGACACTGGACAAGCGTTAGGCCGATACGTTGTCTGTGTTTTGGCAATTAATAAAAGACAGAAAGAGAGTTTTGTTAGGCAATTTGAAGAGTCAGGATGCCAAAAAACAAAAAAAACAAAATTTAATTAAAATATTAGGAAAAAAATTAATATTGTGAATAACATATTTTTTTTTGAAGAAAATAAAAAATGTGTGAAATAACTGGTTTTAATAAGTGTTCTTCCTAAAATGACCATTTAGACCTTCAAATAATTGGTTTTACGATTTACGAAAGTCTTGATTTTTAATGTTAAACTAAATTCTAAATGAAAAGTCAATTTAAAAAAGGAGTCAAAATGGAATTATAAATATTGAGAAATTAAATAAAGTTATTGCCATGTTTCTTGTTAGGTGCGGATTTTTATATTTCGAAAATTGGGCCAGTACATGAGGCCTATTTTATTATGTCTTTCCACGCCAAAGGGGCCCATTTCAGACCCACAATCTGGGTACAATTTCAGACCCACATTTGTTTCACTTATTCAGTTGTTCAGTTATTGTATAGAGTAATTAATATTGATGCTAAAAGATAAAATGCAAAAAAATTATACAATGAATGTGAACCACAAATATTATTCTCTTTGTGTTAATGTGTTTGCCCAGTTTTATTTTTTTTGAATCAAAGTAGAAAAAATTTAATCATCTATCACTCTATATTTGTATTTGTATCGCATATTAATATAATTAGACAAAAGTTTGAAAATTTTGAACAAGATAACTCTAATAAAATCAAATTTATACTAACATAAATTACAAATTTTATTTAATTGAGATTCATACTTATTTAGTTTTAATTTAAAAAATCAAATTGAACAAATACATTCAGAGGAAGGTTATATTAAGGGCATGTTTGGAAATAGCATTAGAGATTAGCGTTAGCATTTTAAATAAAATTTTAACGGTGCAGATTATTTTGAAAACGCTAACGCTAAATGGTATCCGTAAATAGCTTTTTCAAAACGCCAACGTTAATCTTTAGCGCTATTCATAAACTTTAATTAATTTTATTTTTTATTTTTTATTTTAAACAATTTTTAAATCCCATAAAAGTTAAAACTATGAGATAAAGCCATAAAGGGAGGACTCCCTAATAAGCAGAATCAATGCCCCCTCCTTAATACGACAATTTGTGACTTGTCAATCATCATTACATTAAAGCATAATCTGTCGTTATTGGTGATAGAATCCTAAAATTGAGCGATTAATATGGTTAATTAAATCATTAGGCAGCATGCAATTATGCTCCATGCATGCTATTTAATTTTGTCCATTTCTGTGCTTCCTCGATGCTACTCCCTCCGTCCAAAAAAGAATTCCCGCTTTGACTTGGTGCGCAAATTTATGTGAAATGAAAATTGCTTTGACTTTCACATTATACCCCTCATCCTCTCTATCATGTTCCCCCACTGGCAGCGCCATCAACCCCGTCCAACACCAAAACTTCCGCACCGCCGCCGGCGACGCTTCCACACCGTTGCCGGCAACGCTTCCGCAACGCCGCCGGCGACGCTTCTGACCGCCGCCATCGACGCTTCCGCAACCCCCGCAATCGAAATCCCCCCCTTTGNTCCATCGCAGCTCCCAGCATCCTCTCTCCGTCGCAATCCACATCCATCGCCGTTGCATACCTGCAATCCGAATCCCTCGAAAAGATCTGTTTTGAGACTTCTCGTTGAGGAAAATCAAAATTCTACCATAGATCTAGAAAAAATTAAAAATATTGTCACTGCAAATCTAGATCTGGTGAAGATGCAACCCAGAGATTTGAAAAAATATTTCTTCTTTTAGTTGATGAAAGAAGAAGGAAGAAAAAAGAGAAAAAATGAAGAAAGAAGAAGAAGAAGACGGAAGAAGAAAGCATAAGAAGAAGAAGGAAGAAGGAAGAAAATAAAACAATAAAGAAAGAAGATGTGGAAGAAGAATGCAGGAGAAGGAAGAAGAAAAAGAATGAAGAAGGAGAAAAAGAAAGAAAAACGGAAGTAAAAAGAAAGGGAGAAGAAGAATTGGATAAGGGCACAATTGACATTTCATTTACAAAAAGTTTCCAAAAAAGGAAACGGGAAGTTTTTTTGTGGACGGACCAAAAAGGAAAGTGGGAAGTTCTTTTTTGGACGGAGGGAGTATTTGAGTACTCACACAATGTTTTTATATGTTCCATAGTCAATACTTTTGTATCGTTTTTGACACGATTAACCCCTTTAATTTATTTATTTAAAAAAAGTGTAATTATTTGAGTTAACTTTTAAGTACTTCTTCTGTCTAAAAATGTTCTTCTTACTTTCCTTTTCCATCAGTTTAATTCGAATTTTATTTCTTATTCCCCTTTTTAGTTTGTTTTGTAAAGAGTAA